CCCCAAAACCCCAAAACCCCAAAACCCCAAAACCCCATCATTTCTAACAAATTTTGATAAATTATTATCATAATTAATCAGAAATGAGCACTAAAGAAGCAATAGTGGTGGACATTATGAACTTTATCGAAACATGGGCTACACAGATCATCAAGGTATTATAAGCAAGTTATTATTAGGCGTATAAAATCTATCCAGAAGAAGCCTTTAAGAGTAACTGATCTCTTTATTCTTATAGGAGCACAACTCCCCTTTAGCACAAAATCCAGAAGAATTTTCAATCTCCAGGTTGACGAGTTTAGAATCGATGCATTGTCTTCATATTTATCAAATGTATAAATTTTGCTAAAAATTTAGTTTGTCAATGGGCTCAATTACTTTCTCACTAACGTAAGCTTGGGCACTCTAATGTTCAGGATCTGTATGTGCTTGGTTTAATATGAAAGGCTGGATGTGGTCACGCTTGAGATCGTGCAGAGTAACACCGGAGAAGTGGCAGACAGCTTCAGTCTCAAAGTCTTTGGGTCTCTTGGCCAGCCAGATTTTGATAATTTTAGGCATGAACAAGGTAGGACTGAAGAAGATGATGGCGCTAGTAGGCAGTTTAGAAGGGATTTTGGGTGGGTGGAAGGGGTGGAGGAGTATTCTGGGTTAGATTTTAAGTACAAAAAGGGTATTTATGGTGCTCTTTTGGAGTCATTTTATAGTTTTGATGGGTTATAAGAGCGATCGGGTTGTTAGAAATATGTTGCTTTTGTTTTTAGGAAGTTTTCATGAGTCTTACTCTCTAAAGTTTCAAATCTTCAATAGAAATGCTAAAGTAACAAACAAAAAATTTTGAATCCTGCCAGGAAATTCTTGACAATCTTTTCTGCTAAATTCACCAAAATATGAAATAATACATATTTTAGATCTATGAATGCCAAATAAAATCAAAGAACACAGAAGAGCAGAGTTCCAAAGAATCCTAATTAACATCTATAAGAAGTAACTCTGTTTTAAAATTGTAGATTTGGGGTCAAATATATGATAAAAGAGACTATCAACTCCCTCGTCTCTCAAGGTAACCTACTCAACTTCATCTTTTCTAGACGACGCCAAAAGTGACCTTAGTCAGGATCAAGAGTAATAATTCTCATTAATATCTAGGTTAAAGGTATGACCCAAATTTGATCAATAGATAATTCCTGAATATGAAGAAGATTTAGACAACAACATGTAGACTTAATTCTCTCATTCTGATAGGAACGAAGACAGTGGGTTTATCGATACATACATATTGAAAACAGATCCTGATGAAGACTATCATTTCGGGTTTAAGATAAAATTAAAGAACTCGGAATCTCTTAGCCAGATCTATTCAGAAATCAATGAAACAGGGTACTCTTATATTTAACAGTAGCGATACGATGAGCAAAGGCTTAACTCCAGAGCAGAAAGCCAAAATCCTTCACTTGTAATTCCTCCTATAATCTCTAGGATCTCAGAAAATTATCTAGCTGAGGACCAGGATGACTCCAGCAATCAAGATATGGAAGAGGAAGAGGAAGAGGGAGGAGTTAGTCTTTCGACTCATTCTATAGCACAGAGGAAGGATCAACATAGAGATGCTCAATCTGACATAATTCAAATTTCAGATGTTTGGAGGGGTTTTGGGGTTTTGGGGTTTTGGGGTTTTGGGG